GCATAAATAATGATCCATTGATTATTCCTCACTGACTGAACTTTTCCTTTAAATCCACTGAGTTCCTAGTTTCTTTCGCTTTGCCTCGGTGCAGTTCGGTGATTATTTGGGCTTACAAGCATTTTTTTTTAGCTATTTATCGAAAATAGGTTAAAATTTATTTTGCATGCAATCTAAAAAATGTACATAAGCTTAAAGTAAAGTCCGTTATTTTAATTTCAGGGTTCTCACATACAAATTTTGTTAAGTGAAGGACCTTTTGTTTCAGGGGTCAAATATTTAAAACTGTCTTATAAACTGGTGAGTGTTTTGTGTTATTATCTCCTTTTCTTCTGAGCACATAAAACTTTATACAAAGGCTGATATGTTTATTTGGAAGCTGCTGCTCTGAACTCACAATATGCAATTAAGAAGCTGAGGGAATGTCGTAGTTAATGAGGAAGAGAGAAATCAGAGAGACGGTACAAACTGCAGAGATGGCCGAATCAACGGCAACATGAAAAGGTCTGGATGCTGACAGAAGAAAACATGGAGGACGATCACAGGATTTTCTTTTAGGATGAATAAATCAACGCAGCAGAACATCCAGCCAAGTCAAAAAAACATCCTTCAACAGGATGACTTATCATTTTCATTGTGCACCATGCAAACCATTCATGAACCCCAAGAATATAGATAGTTATAGTTAGCCAAAAGGGGCATATTCCATAGCTGGACACAGCTGAGACACAACCGGACAAATAAAGCTTATCAACATTTAGCAGATCAATAAAAAGAAAAGGAAGGCGGCCAAAAAAGATCCACAGTAAAACACATGAGAAGGCAACAAAAAGCGGCCAGCTGGATTCCCTGATTGCAGGAAAGAAAAGAGGAAATGTTCCTTTTTTCTATATGGAAGCTGTCTGCTTAAAATCATCTTCCACAGAGTTGGTGGGACGTTGCACTGCAGACTAACTAGGCCATGACCCAAAACATAGCAGAAAGGTAGGCCATAGAAAAATGGGATAGAAGTCAGGAAAGGCGGAGCAAAACTGATCCAATATGTTGGATACGCTCAAAGCTAAACTCCACGAAGTT